TGGATGGATGGATGGATGGATGGATGGATGGATGGATGGATGGATGGATGGATGAAAGGAATGGATGTATGGATGAATGTATAATAATATAATTGTAGTATTGATGCAGCTATTTTACATTTTTAATAAGCTTCAGCTTCACTTTTAACCATCTTTGAAAAAGAAGAACTAAGCCGTTTACTGTCTGTTGCCATTTTCATTTCACTCAATCAGTGTTTATCTCCTGAGGTTTTATTTGTGTCCCACACACAGCTTTCCTTTTAAATCAGCCTCAGTAAAATTCAATCCAAATAAACCATGTTGCTCTGTTTCTACCCCCTTCCCATGCATTTTAAATTGAAAACAGACAAAGTCCTCAACCTGCCAACTCACACTGTTTGCTCAAGCATTGCYGTCCACCAGTGCACATGCACATGGACGCTGGTGACTCACTTGGACGAGATYACAAGAGATCCTGCTGTACTGCTGCTGTTAGCTTTAACAGAGAACAGTCTGATCCTAATTTCCCAGACTCATTATCTTTTGTCCAGTTCAGGTTTTTTATCAAATCAGTCAGCTGCGAGGAAAATGTAACTGATAACGCCGCTTAACTAGAAATCCATCCCACACACCTTTCTCCAGAAAAAGAAATGGGCTGGTGTCAGGCAGTTAAYATGGGAAGAGAAAAAAAAGTGGGTCATTTTCTGTATGTGGAGCAGCCGGAGAGGCCGTGAGAGTTCTGCATTTAACTGCTCCACTTTCTGAGCCAACACCAAACCCCAGAACCATTGCTCTTCGTCACCTTGAAGTGYACCATACATTCATAACGCCATCAAAACAGGAAGTCTATAGGAAGATGTGAGCTGTGTCATCAAAGATGTTTTGGAAAATGACTAAACGGCTCCCTCAAGTGGAAAAGTGTGAGCTGAACCAACAGGATCAAAAATGACAGAGAAGTTGATTTTCATACAAAACTAGTTTTACGTCTATACCAGGGGTGTCCAATCCTGGTATTGACGTAAAATTAGAATGAATGGGTGATTAACAGGCTTGGGCAGAAAAGGAAAAGGTAAATCAATCACTGAATCAGGTGTGTTGGAGCAGGGAAACAACTAAAGCATGCAGGATAGCAGCTCTCGAGGACCAGGTACAGACACCCCTGATCTATCCCAACCAGGTATTGTTTTCATTCCTGCAAAAGGATTTGTGAATTATCACACAAAATAATTAAAAAAAAAAATCTGAGAAATGTTAATTTCCATGGGACAATATTTTGGTGTTCTTACCTTTTGGCAATGTTTGACCATTAAATACCTTCTGTATAAACTTGGACAAAAAAAAAACGTAAAACTTAGAGATTTTGCGAATGATCCGAATTGTTTGAATGGCTCCTTACGACCAATAGGAACTGAGTTGTGGCAGTAAAGAATCTTATAGTTTTTTTTTCTTTTACTCTTCGTAAATCTTTATTTTTTCCACCTAACCAAAGAGACAATCGCTCATTCACTTTTTAAATGACAGGCAAAGGAGTGGAATACAGCAGCTCAAGGGAAAGGGGTAGAGGCATTATGACATAACTCCCTACGTGATGACATAACTTGTTCAAAATCGAACTGCTCTAGTGAACGTCTCTATAAAACAAACGGCTCGTCAAGATCCAGATCCCTTCAAAGAGCCATTCGTCCAATCTCCAGTAAAATTAAATTGACAGAACTTTTTTTTTCAAAACAAAATATGCAAACAAAACCAAAACTCGATCATTCAAAAAGTAGATAACAAAAAAGATCAACTATTTCTGGAATAAGAGCTGAGAGTTTCCCTCGGTTCAACAGCTGAGTTCAATAAATAAAACAATATAAATACAATTCATTTACTTCAAACATAAAGTTAATTACACCTTTTTTTCTCAGGAGGACTCGCAGAAATACTACAGCTGGCAGAGTTTCGGTCCGACGGACAGAAAAACCGAAAGCTTGTGGGTGGAACTGAACCACCTTTACAAAAGTCAAGTCAGAATCCACAGCATCCTGTCCAACAACCACCGACAGGCAGCGGTAAGATGAGCTCAGCCACTAATCCACTTTTGCTCTCATTTATGTCTAATCTCCTCCGCCCTTCACAGCGAGTGGCCCTTTCTTTTGATTTCCCTTTTTATGGACACAACTTAAGACAAGTAATTGTAGCAACAGGAGGTAAGTTGTTCCATCTGGTATCAGTGCAGCTCGGTTTGAAAATGCCAGCGAATTGATATTTTATAGTCGCTTCATCAAACAATGCTTCTTTCTACCAATCCCCACCTTTAGGGTTCATCTACATGGGTGATATCACCCATCTAATGTTGACCGCGACACAGTACATCGCGCCCCTCATGGCCAACTTCGACCCCAGCTTCTCCCAAAACTCAACCGTCAGGTACATGGACAACGGTACGTAGACGTTCCCCTGTCAGATTTGTGACGTTTGAAAGCTCTTTGTTTGTTTTCCTAACCGCCAACCTCGCTGCCCTGCTCTGCTCAGGCAAACTGTTTGTGGTGCAGTGGGACAAGGTGCAGCTAAAGGACCGAGAGAACGAAGGAGCTTTTACTTTTCAAGCAGCCCTCCACAGTAACGGGAGCATCGTTTTCAACTACAGAGATGTAAGTTTGCACAAGGATGTGTACTCACCTTGTAAGTCGGTTTCATTAGTGTTAAAACAAAACTCTGTCTCTTTAAGATCCCACTACCAGTGGAGAAAATGAACTCCACAGAGCATCCAGTTAAAGTGGGACTTTCTGATGCTTTCATGGCATTAATCCCCGCTTCACAGCTCTCAGGTCAGTTCTTAAAAGGTTAATTTGAACATTTTGAAGTGGGGTTTTATGGAAAAGCTGCAAACAATTAATAGATAGCTCTTGGACGACATCAGTTTGGAGAAATACTTTAAATATGACATGATTAACAACTAGTCTGAAAGCTGCATCACTGCCAAGTCCATGGATATTTCCTTTAGGTATGCACATTTTTGCATTTTAACAAGGAAGAAACATTAAGCTTTGCTCCAATTTTACATTCATCTTAAAGATGCAAAGAGGCGAACCATCTACGAATATCACCGTGTTCAGATCGACGCCACAAAGATCGTCAGCGGGTCTGCATTTGAGTTCACACCTCTGCCCAGTAAGTGCTTTTTTTTTTTTTACAAGACCTGGCAGCGCTGCCACATTTATCACCTTTCTAACAGCAGAACAACGTGTACCTGATTCCTCCAGCTTGTCTTCAGCACTCATCCTGCGACCTCTGCCTAACGTCCAACCTGACGAGCGGCTGCGGCTGGTGCAACACCCTCCAGCGGTAAGATGAAACTCCGTCTGCTGTTTGATGCAAATAGAAAAAAAAAATTGGGGCTTATTTGTTCCTCGCTGTGTTCCAGATGCTCCGACGGTATTGATCGGCACAGACAAGAGTGGCTGGATTACAACTGTCCCGAGGAGGTGAGATACTCTAGCGCAGGGGTGTCAAACTCCAGTCCTCGAGGGCCGCTATCCTGCATGTTTTAGAGGTTTTCCAGCTCCAACACACCTGATTCAGTGATTGAATTAACTCTTCAAATTGGGCAGAAGCCTGTTAATTACCCAGCGATCAAAATCTGGTGTGTTGGAGCAAGAAAACCTCTAAAACATGCAGGATAGCGGCCCTCGAGGACTGGAGTTTGACACCCCTGCTCTAGCGGTTTATCCAAATAAATGTGAGTAGTTGCCTAACTCTAGTTCTTTTAAGTCTAAAGCAAATCACCAGTTTTATCACAATAAATCGATTTGTTTGGGTGACAGTATCACAAAGGCTTGATTCAATTAACAAGAAAGTGATCAATATGAGAAATGATTGCATTAGATGGGCATATGTTAGCGACCCACACCGGGCATGTGATGAAAATATGGATCGATGTTCCAGTTTTGTCTCGATGGATTTGAATTATTAATCATTTAAATGATATATCGATGTGGATCGATGTGTCATGTATTGTTCCACCCCTAGGCTGAAGGTAAATGTGAGGACTACAACCCGCCATTACCTGAGGGATCTATGAGCTCCTACAACCAATCGTCACCAGGTCCAACACCGTCTTTAGCGATCCTGGAAGAGCAGACGGTCACTAGAGGTGAGTTTAACTGGAAAACGAAACAACGTAGAGTCACTTAAACAAAAGTGATACGATACCTTTGTTGACTCCTGGCTCAAATTTATTGTCAAAAAATAAAGCGGATAACCAAGATAGCAAATGTTTTTCCTTTTTTTTCCCCTCCAGATTTACAAACGATCCCTCCGCACCACCGGGGAATAACGGAGAACACCGCCATCATAGCAGGTGTAGTCGCGGCATTAGTCCTGCTCGTAACGTTGACCTTACTGGCCGTTTACTACATCAACACACACCCCACGGTTGCTCCACCGTTCTACCTCATGCAGGTGAGGGGGAAATAAAACAGAACATGCTCACATTATTCATAAATTTTAGTCCCTCATTTGTATTTTTGATTCTTGTATTTAGCGACGCACAAATAATTACTGGCCCTCCATGAAGTTTCGCAACCAAAGCTGTCACTCCAGTTACGCTGAAGTCGAGCTCGGGGTTCACGAGAAGGAAGGATTTATCGAGGCTGAGCACTGCTGTTAAATGGTCCGCACTTGTGATGAAAAGGTGCCATCTTGAGGATTATAAAGATCCGGAATCAAAAAAGGATCAACGTGAACATTCAGGCAGATCAGACACAAGATGTCCTTACTCCAACCTTTGTGGCTGGACAGTGTTTACTGTACCTGCTCTCCTTGCCAGCTTTCTCTGTCTTTTGCTGTTTGCCATCACTCGGGGGTCTTGTTGTCCAGGGGCTTTTGAAGATCTTGTGACAAGAAGGGAACTAGTAATCGTCCAAAACCAATGAAAATCAATGCAAGGACAGGTCAGGAAATGAATCAAACAAGCCTTCATACTGCAAGCTAATGTACGTCTCTAGTTAACTATCGGTTTCTGTCTATTTTATGAAATTATTTTGTTTGTTTTCTTTCTTGAAACTTTGAGTGTTGTTCATGAAACGCTTGATGGACTTATCTACAAAAGTTACTTAGCTATACAATTGATAGTGAACATAATGATCAACTTGGACTTGGGGGGAGGGATACTGTATGAATGAATTCTAGAGTGTTCAAGATTTCTCTGAACTTTTTCGTTTAAATGTCTTCTAATAAAAGCTGATGATCAGTGTGGATGAATCTCATGTTTGACGGACTGTGTGGGACATATGGCCTGATTTATCTGTTAAAATAGCTGTGTTTGTGTTGCTACAGCMGCTGCGGATATTTAAAGTCTAAACACAAGAAAAAAAATAAACAGAATTTATATGGTATGCTTGTGATTAACTTTATTTTTGTATTTAGTCGTTTAACAAGTCTGTGCTACTTAAAATTCAAAAATTGAAATGTTATTCCTGATTTTAAAAAAATCTGACTAAATAAAAAGATTCTAAACCACTTAACAAAAACATAGGCTTATAAGAGGATTCAGAGATATAAAAACAACAGGTAATATAAACTTTAAATAAACTACAGACTAAATATATTTTGTCTATCATGTGATAAATATTAGAATCAAAGTCTTAAACATGGTGAACATCGGCTCTACAATTGTTTAAATAATTATTAATTAATTAATTAATTAATTAATTAACCTTATTAGCTAGCCATTAGAACATGAAGCTAGCTAGCATTTTCCAAAATAAATGTACCATCAAATAACACCGTACTGAGAGAGCAAGGGATTATACTTTCAGTATTAGTACTACCTGGACAACAACATTTGACTGAGAGAATACTCACGTCAACGCTTGACAACTTTGTGTTTTTATTAGTACTTGCGGGAATCTAAATTTCACTAATGTTTACAAAGAAAAAGAGGGGGCACCCGGATTTGAACCGGGGACCTCTTGATCTGCAGTCAAATGCTCTACCACTGAGCTATACCCCCGCTGCTGTAAATTGCCCACGTATTTAAATTAAAAAATAAATACCCACACGGTTGGTGTGTACTTATTTTTATATAGTAAGACAGTGGGTGATTTCCTCTTTTGTCTTTTAAGGAGAAAAGGTTTTATTCGTTCGGTTTGACACAAACAAACATGGCAGATTTAGTCGTTTATATGATAATGACCATCAGAGGGCGCTGTTTCACCATAATATTTCCGCTTCCTTTGTATGTTCCAATAACACAGTCTATTTAATGATTTATTTCCTTGCTTTCTTATTTTTTAATGCTTTTCTATTTGTGTGCACATTATGCTAAACAATAAAACTACATAAATGAAATAACTAATCCTGAAGTTTTCTCTGTGCTTTTGCAGAATGCTGCCTTCATGTGCTGTGCAAAAATATTTTTTCCGTGATTTAAACATGTTAATAAAATAGGTTATACAAATGTATTTCTACACAAACTCAGTGAGTTTAGATTGGCCTACGCATATGATAAACTATCAAGTAAAATATGGCTCTTTTGATCAAATATTTATATTTATTGTTCGTAAGAAAAAAAGGAAACGTACGAAAGAAAGGAAACCTAAGCTTGAAGGTGACAAAAATTTAATTAAATTTACTTAGAGATTGTTTATTTGTGTTTATATTGTCTAGAAGTTATTTCCTTGTCATTTAATGTAATTTATATTTCGCATAAAATATCTAAACTTCATTTTTGCGATGGTCCGTGAAGGCACCATACAGCTCCTCCTCAGTTTGGGTACAGTATATTAACTAGAAAGCCTGCAGACAAACTCAGGACTGTTGGGTCTTATGTTGATCATCTTTGATGCAACTTCTCCTGTTTTTAATTTTATTTTTAAGTGATCCTGTTAAGAATTTTAATGTTTTGTGGTTTGAAGAATCACTGAGCCAACATGAATCCACCATGTGGAAGATGCAAAAAACCAGTTTATCCAACAGAAAAGATAAACTGCCTTGATAAGGTAAGATGCTGAGGTTTTATTAGCCTAACACAGATTCCAGTTTAAACTATTTAGGATTTGAATTCAAGTTTTATTTTCTTCAAAGCTAAATGTACTTAAAGTCAAATAGTTTCTTAATAAACTAAACGTTTGTTGTAATTAGTTTTATTCTTTGGCTTATTGCAGTAATATTTGATGTTTCAGCACAATACAAAATAATAAGTCTGATTATATTTGTGCACACATCAGTGCAATTCCCAAAAAGAAAACTAAAAAAATAAAATAAATAAAAAATAGAGAAGGGACATCCGGTGTTTAAAAACTGTCCACAGATATATTTTTGTTTGTTTTAAGGGGAAGGGCAGGGGAAGCACAAAGGTAAAAGTGAGTTCTAACAAATAAGGTCAGTAGATGAAAAAATAAGATTAATGCAACAATTTTGTTCAACTGAATCAATTAAAGAACAGAACTGATGTGTAATAGTTTTTATTTCTGATGTCTGAAAATGAATTTAATCAAGTTCGAAGAATAAAATATACATTCATCCAACCATGTTCTGCAAAACAGTTTTCTGAAGGAAACCAAGAATTCTTCTCCCCAGCCACACTCTCCAGCTCCTCCTGAAGAAGGCGTTCCCAGACCAGAAAGGACGCCCCAGGTCTCCTCTCAGTGGAACGTGCCTGGAAAACCTYCATAAGTGCCTGACCCGCCTCAGCTGTCCCCTTCTCTCAATAAGGAGGAGTAGAGGCTCAACTCCAAGCTCCTCACCTTATCTCTAAGATCATTTCAGCTGCTTGTACCTGCTGGGATCTTGTTCTTTCTGTGATTGTCCATCCGTCCATCCATCCATTTTGTTCCGCTTATCCGGGGCAGCAGCCCAAGCAGAGAGACCCAGACTTCCCTCTCTCCAGTCACTTGGGCCAGCTCCTCCGGGGGGAATCCCAAGACATTCCCAGGCCAGCCGAGAAACAGTCCCTCCAGCGTGTCCTGGGTCTTTCTCTGGGCCTCCTCCCAGTAGGACGTGCCCAGAACACCTCACCAGAGAGGTGTCCAGAAGGTATCCTAACCAGATGCCTGAGCCACCTCAACTGGCTCCTCTCGACGTGGAGGAGCAGCGGCTCTACTCTGAGTCCCTCCTGGATGACTGGGCTTCTCACCCTATCTCTAAGGGACAGCCCAGACACCCTGCGGAGGAAACTCATTTCAGCCGCTTGTATCCACAATCTTGTTCTTTCAGTCACTACCCAAAGCTTGTGACCATAGTTGAGGGTAGGAACGTAGAACGGCCGATAAATTGAGAGCTTTGCCTTCTGGCTCAGCTCTCGCTTCACTACAACAGACCGGTACAGCGCTCCCATCACTGCAGATGCAGCACCAATCCACCTGTCGATCTCCCGCTCCATTCTTCCCTCATTCGTGAACAAGATCCCGAGATACTTAAACTCCTCCAGTTGGGGCAGGATCTCCTCCTCGACCCTGAGGAGGAACTCTACCCTTTTTCCGGCTCGAGACCATGGTCTTGGATTTGGAGGCACTGAGATTCATCCCGGCCGCTTCACACTCGGCTGYGAACCGCTCCAGTGAGAGCTGGAGATCAGGATCTGATGAAGTCAGTAGGACCACATCATCTGCAAAAAGCAGAGATGTGATCCTAAGGTCACCAAAAAAGATCCCCTCAACACCTCGGCTGCGCCTAGAAATTCTGTCCGTGAAAGTTATGAACAGAATCGGTGACGAAGGGCCACCTTGGTGGAGTCCAACTCTCACCGGAAACGAGTCTGACTTATACTGGCAATGCAGACCAAGCTCTGGCACTGGTCATACAGGGACCTAACAGCCCGTGTCAAAGGGAGTGGCACCCCATACTCCCAGAGTACCCCCCACTCCCAGAGGGACACGGTCGAACACCTCCAAGTCCACAAAACACATGTAGACTGCTTGAGCAAACTCCCATGCACCCTGCTGAGGGTGTAGAGCTCCTAATCCACCATGATGTTGACAAACGCTGCCTGTTGCTGGTTTAAATCTGCAAAAATGTCAGTCACATACAAATGTCAACTTAAGCAGTTTTAGCACCCACAATATGATTTTTAGTCATTTATAACTTCTGTTTATAATGATTTTAATCATTCTGGTTTTAGAACTTTTACAGGTATAAAAACACAAAGTGCTTCACAATAAAAACAACAAGAAAAAAATTAAAGGGGTTATGTATTTCTCAGGCACATAGCGCAATTCTATAGTACAATTTGATTTTGCATCATAGCATACTGTATATAAAATTTAGCATACAAACACCTAGAAATTGGCCTCTATCTCTTTAAGAACCTCCTACCGTTTCAGACACTCCCACTTCAGCACCTTTTCACAACAATGCTTTGAGGGAGGGGTGAGCTGAGGTGGGGGTGGGGGGCTGCAGACTGAKCTTCAGGGATTAGCTAGGTGCAAATGGGGGCAGAGCTAGGTACAAATAGGCGGAGCTTTGTACCAGCAAGTATTTAGCCAGCTCCACATGACTACCACAGGAGATTCAAGGATTTCTCAAACATGCATGAATGAGTCACAGCAACACTCTGGGGATGTTTTTGATGAGGGAATGACATCATAACATGATATAAAGCTCAAAAAACATTGCATAATACCCACCACCACCATCCCTTTAAGAACATACACCAAATTGCAAACGTACAAGTAAAACATGCATATAGAATATACAGTGCAAAACTTCGAACAACATAAAAGAGTCTTCAGATGTTTTTTTAAGTATCAATAGAATATATTTGAGCAGTGCATTTCAAAGTCAGGGTGCAACTACTTGGAACGACCAGTCCCCACAAGATTTTAAACGGTTGTGGGATACAACCAACAACCCCTTACTTGACGACGTCAACCTACGAGATTGTGTGTAGAGCTGTATCAAGGGAGCTTGTTCATGCGAAGCTCTAAAAGCTCTAAAAGTGGGGTCCCAACCAAAATTTTGAGAACCACTGAACCATAAGCCACAACCATAGGTGGGCATTGGAACATAGACGGATCAACAAATGGAGAACTTTGCCTTTCAGCTCAGCTCGTTCTTCATAATAGACCAGACCAACACCCTGATCAACTGTGACCCATCTCTCACTTCATCGTACCATATGTTGTGAATAAAACACCCAAATGTATAACTCCTCTGTTTAAAAAGAAAATTTCACCATGTTTTGGTTGAGAACCATGACCTCAGATCTATAAGAGCCAACTCTTATCCCATCCCTGCTACAAATTAGGCTGCAGACCACCTCAGTGAAGACACCAACATAACCAAAGACGTGGGGATTCCCAAACCAGACTCTGAAACCTTGTTTTATATATAATTTTATAAATAATTTTATAATTGCAGGAAGCAGATATGTGTACCAAACATAATGTTCAAGTTTAAACCATTTAAATTTACAAGATTTCCCGTAAAATT